ATGTCGGCTCAGACTTTTCTTTCTTCGCTCTGATGAAAAGATGGAGTCAGCAGGTTTACACTCTATAGGTGCTCAGTGGATGTAAATATTTAGATTTGAGATCTGATTAGTTGAAACGTCCATTTATCTCCTTACTTAACTCAGATGAGCACAGGCTGCTGCTTCACTCAAACCACAAAGTTCGGGTGACCTAAACTTCACCCACTGCGATGTCCAAGCACTATGATGTTGTTTCACATGTGTGTGTGTGTGTGTGTGTGTGTATGTGGGGGGTACAGCTCACTGAACCATTAACCTTGATGCCAATTAGTGGTGTATGTGTGTGTCTGCAGGGGCAGTGCCACACCTTTAAAGTGGTGGGGCAAAAAAAACAAAAAACTTTTGTACTAGCCCAGGTTTCAGCAACATGTGGCTCTTTTACTGTCCTTTTGCGGCTCCACAGCAGAATCAGATGTTTAGGTAGAAATAAAATAATCCTCCTTTGCAGTAAAATAAAGCTCTGCTGGTCGTTCAAACACAGTTTTAACAATAAGTGGTCTTAAACGCTGGAGTTAATGTAGCCTATATCTGCTAATTCACCCTTTAACCCTGAGGATTGACGCTTAGACTGCTGGTCACCATACTAACGCAGACAAGAATCTCGTCTAGCTAGTAGCTAACGAAACAGCAAAGAGAAAGATTTAAGATGAATATTGATAATTTGAAAACGAATGGACTTGCGTTTTTAGACACTCCTGATTTTTCCTGATACGTTTAATCTGCAACGAGAAACTGTCTAAAAAGTGTAAAAACACTAAAAAGTCACAAAGCTGCTTCTTATTCGCCAGCCTCTTCTTCGAATTTTCCAGTTCCACCTTAAATGGTGTAGCAGTTTAATTCTTCCAAGGTGGAACAGGAAAATTCAAACAAGAAGCTGGAGAATGAGGATCTGACTTCAGCCTAATAAAAAGTCGAACATTGAGAGACATTTTACAAGAAACTATTGTACTTCTGAGGAAATGTTTCCTGCCGAAGATGTGAGAAAAGTAGCTATAGCTGAGCTAAAGCTTAAAGCAGAGCAACTTATTGATGCAAGACTGCATTTTTGTTTATTTTTAGATCTTTTACTCTACAGACATTAGCACGTATTAAGATATATTTACAACCAAGATGGTAAAATATCACTTCAATAACGTGGACATAAAATGCTGTGGCTCCCAAGGTGGTTTGATTTTTTGTTGAAAGGATAAAATGGCTGTTTTTAACGTTTGGGTTGTGACCCCTGGGCTAGTGCAAAAGCAACTGACTGACTGACAAAATGCAACTTACAAAAGACAACCTAGGTCACCAACTGACTAACAAAAACTACCTTTAGCACACAGCACTGTGCAAAGGCCAGAGACTATGCCTTCATTTACTCAGTTTCTATTCATCCTTCCACTGTGACTCAACGCTATGGAATGGATGAAAGGATGGGTTTGGAGGTGTGGACAAATATCCCAGATGAAAGATGAAGCGAGTCTCCTGAAAAAGGAAGCTGTGATAAAGGTAAAGGGTGGACACAATACTGAAACTTATATTATGTTATATTTAGTTGTTGACTAGTTGTTGTGCAACTTTCTGTTAAATTTTCTCATTTTTTCCTGATGCTGACAAATTACGAACAACAAACTATTTAAGAACTGTTCAAAGGCTGTTTACGTTATAGAAATGAAGGATGGTCTGACCTTTGTACAGTACTCCATGCGTGTGTGTGGCGGGCAGGGCTCAAACACACACACTTGATCTTGATGGAATTTTAAAAGTATGAACTCAAGCATATTTTCCCCTTTTATCATCTTTAACAGGCTCTCACTCACTCTCTCTCTCTCTGCATGTATCGCTATTGCTATCACTATCCCTCTTGCATCAAGCAACGTCTGGCTCTGATAGCATCTCTGACAGGGCTTCTCTTTGAGTTCACTGAGAGTTTCTGTGCACACAGAAAGCTGCAGTTTCTCAGTTTAAAGAGACACATGCGGTCATCAGTGTCTACAGTCTTTCTAGTCTATGTGCCTGCCATTCTCGCTTTACATGGGCACAAAAGAAAGAGAAGAACAGCATATTTTGGTGTTTTCCCTGATTGAACAGACCTGATCCAACTAATCATCTCATTAACACGCCATACCGGTATTTAAGTGGTGTGTGCCATGACTTAGCAAGAGCATGCTTTGCAAAGAAGCTGCTGCTGAACAGAGTTCCAAAACGCATTCCGTCACATTCTTTATAACTTTCATATTTCATAAGCTACATTCAAAAGGTGGGTGTCATATGAGAGCTGTAACCGTCTTCTTTCCAGTCAAATAGATGGAGAATGTACTTTTAAAGCTGAAGCTGAACTCACAATCTTTTTTTTCTACTGAAAGTCGACCCATTTTTCCACAAATCTGGGCTATGAATTATAAACAGATGGCGTCTCTTCAGTGATCTGCTCTGTAAAAAAATATTTTTATTAAATAATACAAAGAGCGTCTAAGATTTTTGGCTTTCAGCAGTAAATTGTAAGCATATAGGAATATGTGTATGATCATAAACCACATGTTCTGTTCATTTGAGGGGAGCTTTTTTAAAAAAAAAATAAAAATAAAATAAAAATTTACATTTATTTCATGCAGTTACTGTATAATTTGCCTTATGATTTGGTCATGTAAATTCAGATGGAAAAAAACAAAATATACCCAAGTCAACAAGAGGTTAAAGAGTATGTTTGAAAAACCCACGTATGAGAGAATTTCGGTTGCTTAAAGGGGGCTGACAACTTGATCACAGATATTAAAGCTATGTTAAAATCTTTATAAATCCTATAGTTACACAAATCCTAAAGAATAAAATGGAATGTAAAGCAAGAAAAACTTAACATTCTCAGCAGAATGTTCAATTCTGTGTGTGTTACCCTGCAAACACAGTTATATTGTGACAACATTGTGGCAACCTACGTTTTTGGTGCCAACAACATTGATCACACAACGTTGCCACTACGTTGTCACAATGTTAGACGTCACATAATGTTGTGACAACTTTCTGAGGAATTACATTTGGACGGGCACCAAAACAGTAGCTTGTCACAACGTTGTCACAACATAACCTCCTAGAATCCTTTTACATTCCACAATCAGGCCCACAACACAATCTTAGGCCGCAAAAGTATTCAAAATTTCTATTAATATTAGCCTGTTTCACAATACGCTGCATTACAGTTCCCAGCACTACTACTACCCTACTACCCCAAAAACAATCTATGGGACATCGGTTACACCTCAATTCTACACAATTCCACACCAGTCATATCACCAAAATGCATTTCAGCTGCAGTTCAGCCAATATAAACACAACGTTTGTTCAGCAGCTCAGAAATTGGGCTCAAGTATTAATGAACTTGCAGCAAAGAAAAGATGCCAGAGGTCTAGTTCAAGTAAAACGGTTAGGTTTAAAGGCTGAGCACCTGAGGGCTTTTACATTTTGAACATTTCAAGGTCTACTACAAGTGTCTGTATTTTGCTGTTGAAGTTTTTGCGTATTCTGAATAAACAATGGCCAATAATACAACATTAATGAAACATGAAATTTTTTTTTTTTCTCTGGCCTGCAGATTTGTTGAGATTTTTTAATATGAGCCTCTTACTGGTTGAGTTTGACTCCCCTGATCTAAATACCCCAAGGCATTTGCTAAAATGTATGTATGAGAGAACTTTCATTGCTTTTTCAAATGTGATAAGATCAACTGGCAGGTGCAACGCTGCACTAAACTGATTTCTTCAAACCTTTCACCTACCTCAGGTCACTGATGGCCCATTTTTCATTTCCCTTCCACTACGTTGTCTATGTTTTCATACAGATAACAAACAAAATATCAAATATCTTTTATTTTATTACTATATTAGTTTGTGTTAGATATAAAGTCTGGGTTACTAACAACCAGAGGTATACACAGCCAATAAGTAGAAAAAAGCATGTATTTAAGGGTTAAATAAAAAGAAATTCTGTGGTTTGTTAAAAAGACCAAAAGACTTCTTTGCATAGCGATATTCAGCTACAGTAACAACTTAGTCCAATAAGGAAGCCCAAATCATACTGAAGGCATGCAGATAATCACATTTGATTTTACTTGAGAAGATATTAACTAGGAATGACAGTTCTTTGTCTCTGTGAGATGTTCCTTCAGAAGGATGCTGCGAAATGAGATAAGGACATGTTTACGCCAATCTCTAGTCTTGCCTACCAGACATGGCAGTGAGCAAAGTTCAGGAGCTGGAACTGGGTTTTTCCATCTTCGTATAACTGGGTGAGAGGTGACCATTTGGGAACCTTCAAGGCGTTGGGCCTAATTTAAAGCTTTAAATACTATCTTTGTTGACTGAATCTCACTAATGACACTGTGTTCAGTTTCATTTCTGAACAAATCCAAGTCTGCATTATAATAGTTTTGATCTGTAATGATGAATCATCAGTTGCATATGTAGATTGTTTATTTTACATATAGTCTGCATAAAGCTATAACTGCTTTGTCCAAGTCTGCGATAGGTGGTGGAAACACCTGCGGATACCACCATTTTTTCTCTCTCTATCTCATTCCCTCATTCTCTCTCTCTCACACTCTCTTAGAGTTTCCTCAGAGTTCAGCCTGCTGATTTGTCTTAGTTAAGCCTTTGTGTGTGAGGTTATGTGTGTCTGTGTGAATGTATTAACCTGTTGATATTATTTTTCTCTATTTTATCCATTCTTTTATTTACATGTTCCTGTAATCCTGAATATATTTTTTATGTTTTGCCTTCCTGTTTTATTTTTTGGTGTATATTGCATCACAGAAATTATGAATGGACATTTTCATACATTTCTGAATTTTAAACTTAATTATGCTGAAGTAAACTAGCCAAAAGTATTAAAAATATACATGTGCAAGTGGTCAAGTCGTTGTCTGTTGCACTGCTGATCTTAGTTCTGGTTGTGTGTGTGTGTGTGTGTGTGTGTGTGTAAGTGTGTACCTTCAGGTAGTCTTTCCTCAGATATTTGTTCCGTCTGCGGTCCTCATTCTGATTGAGAATGGGGGGAAGTTCAGGCCATTTCGGCTCAGAGTCACTGTTCTCTGACTTGAGGCTCCCGTCAAACGAGCAGGAGGAAGAAGGCTGAGAACAGAAAGCAGACGCCATCATGGCAAAAACAGTAGTCTATGCTACTGTACATTAGGAACATTTAAACATTCAGAACTTTAGGGCAAACAGGCCCACTGAAGATACATCTACATTAATGCTGTAGCCACAGACATTGACTATAACACAATGGTGGAACGAATTGTTTGACAATCTATGCTAAGAAGATATTGTTTAAAAAAAGCTGTAAAAAAGCAATACGATAACTTCTTATTCAACACGATAAAAACATAAAATTAACTCATTAAACATCAGAATGAACAGAGTCAGCCTGGTGCTTTAACTGTTGCGGACCAAAAGGCTACGGCAGCAGGAAGCAGTGAGACAAATTCATTCTTTCAGCTGTCAATGCTTAAAATGTCTCCTTTTAAAACAGGCACAATGATTAACCATGGAGTTCATATGACTTTAAAAATATAACTAAATATACATAAGCAAAGATACGTACAAACATACATAAGAAACTAGCTTCATTAATTTAAGTGCTTTATGATTTTATGTCTTTATGGGGTTTTTTTTCAGGTGTGTCCAAACTTTGGGCTGGCTCTGTACATCTGGTAAAGATTTAACATGAACTGAATATAACTGATGATGGCTATAATGATGATGATGATGATGATGATGAGAGACCTCTGAGAAAGCTGCGTCTTCATCTGTGAGGTCCGCATCCTTCGGAAAAGACAAATGGATGGACAAGCCAAAAGAAAAAAAAAATCAAAGAAACACAATGAATGGGGTGTGAAAACATGTACAAGAGATAACTATGGCGCCTTTGTAGTTTATCTTACACCTTATCATATCTAACTGAAGCTAAGTGAAGCCAAAGAACAAACGTTATTTAATGGCTTTCCCATTCGTCTTTCATGCATTGTTCTGTGTTTTTGTAATGCAGAAGCAATAAAGTATATGGAAGAGCAACTGTCAGCTTAGTAGTCAGGAAAACGTTGCTGCGTAATTCTGCTGAGGAACATGGAGATGTGTGTAACAGCTCAGATAATTACAAAGGAAAACACAGCCATTACTTGGAACTGAGTGGGTGGAGCTTTGATGGGAACAGTAAGAATGCATGTGTTCACATATGTATGTATGTATGTATGTGCATTTGTGTGCATATGTGCGTTATACCTGTCCACACACTGCTGAAGCCGCACTGCTGCCCTCATCCAGTGATGCGCTGCCAGGAAAATAACGCACAGAACACTTAGGCTTGCTATGTCATTTCTGGCGCTGGGGAAGCTGCTGAGCATTCATCACAGACAGACAGCTGTTAACAGCTGTCATCAACACTTGCACTACAAGCCAAAACTTGAAAAGCAACACTAAAGGTGCCATGATAAACATCAACATTACATTTTTTCAAAAGAAAACAGACAAGGGAGTGTTTGTTTTCATAGACCAAAATGGTGATTAACTGTCTGCAACAACAGTTTACAACTAAAGCTGTGTTGACATGCAACAGAATATTTCTGGACTTTTTTTTCACTCTCATTCGTAATAAAGGCATTTTCAGAGCATTTCTGAACACAAGCATGCCAGACACAGCACTTTCTGCTACCTCTGCACTATGGTGTAATGAAAAAGTAAAGCTAAATTACATCACAAATATGTCTTCAAACATAATATTACTAGTAAGGAACCCCCAGGGACTTCTAGGCCTGGAGAGAAAGCCTAATGATGCCTGGGACCTAATAAAATAGGTGTCAGTTCATTTTTTATTTAATTAGATCATCACGATTGTTGTACCTAAATTCTGCAAGCATTGCTGTAATAGTCTCAATTCATTGTTAAACTTTGATTAAAACCAAAGGGTTAAAATCTTGAAATGCCCAATGGAAAACTTCCCAATCAGATTTTCTTTTCTAGGCAGATGGAGTCAAGTGAGCTCTCCCATTGGTTAGGCCTTCAGGGGGCCTTCATGTGAGATGAACAACCAATGTAACTACGACATGACAGTGAAATCAACCAATTACTTTTGATTTACAGTAAATGGGACCAATTTTGGGAGAAAAATATCATTCAAGGCCTTCTGGAGGTTCTAGAACCATCACTGAGTGTGAATATGAGCTGTAGTCTAACCAGGTTTCAGTCAGTTGTTAGGAATGGAAAACAGTGCAGGCGGCTCCACGCCAGGACTCTTTGCTGAAAGAGTCACTGTAAACCTGCTACATTCAAGGTAAAATATATGTTAATGTTTCTTACAAGCTTCAAATAAAACATATGGAATGTCTTTTTGACAGATTTTAGAATGTATTCTAGCTATAATAGTAACCGTTTGCCATTGGACATCACTGACCACATAGACACAACCTGTTCATCAGCCAGGTTACATAATACACTGTTAAAAATGAGAGGTCAGCTCAACCCAAAATAATATAGCAACTGATTACATGGCTTGAGTTGACTCAACTTGAGGACACAACAGTTCACACAACTCAAACTTACTAGTTGAGTCAAAAGTTCTCTTAATTTTTTCATTCTGTAAAAAAAAAAGAACTTATTTTTATGCTCAACTTCACCACCAGCCAGGACTCTCTCCATCATACATTCCTAGTAGACATTCTTCCTCTTGGCTACACATTTATGGATGGCTGTGGCGTTGCTGGGGTTCAAACTCACAACCGCCTGTTGGGGTGACGTCTCAGTCCACTGCACCACTCAGGAACACATGAAGCAACTCAGACTTTGTGTCCATAAATGTTTAATACACTGTACAAAATATTTGTTGTTTTAACTTGAGTAGCACAGTCTCATGTGGTGCAACTGTCTAATAATTCATCCCAACATCAGGAGACAAGGAGTTTGAATCCCAGCAATACCAGAGCTGTTCATATCCAGAAGCCCAAAAGGAGAAAAGCCAGATGGATTGTGATAGATGTGATAGAATGAGTGCCAGAAAGTTCAGTAGACACTTTCACCATCAAAACATTTACATGGCTGGATGCTATCATTGTTCATGCAAAAGACACAGAGAAGTGCTTTTTTTGAAAACCGGCATGTAAAAACACACCCATTTGCTACACTATGCACTTAACTGGGACGTGCATAGTTCCAAAAAGCTACTTATCTAGCTAGTAGTAATACTTGACTTTGGTTAAAAAAAAAGGTTTAATACTGTAACAAAAACGACAAGAGCCATTCACCCCAGACATCCACGCCGTTCAGTGACATTCAGTGCTGTAGAAGGTAGGACCCTAAACCACGGTGGGCTGTCAGCTGTTTTCAATAATGGTAGCCATAAATGTGAGATCAGGATCCATGTGTTGTGTTTAATATTCTAAAATGTTTTCTTTTTTCCTTCTTAAGGTAATAGAATAGAAACATTTCTAGAGATTTAAATTTGGCTAGTTGGTGGTCCTTATAATCACTAGACCTTGCTACCTAGCCCCCCAAACTCATAAACAGACAACCCCCCACCCCCCAAAAAATGAAATTCTGGCTACGTCACTGGAGAAGACTAAATGGTGAAAGCAGATCATTTTTTCCTCCTCAGCAAAGACTCAAAACAGTTTAAACGGTTCAAACATAACACAGGTCACAGTGTCACCCAAAAAAAATTAATTAATTAATTAAAAAAAAACGCCCACACAATCTACAGCAAATTTCCCAACACAAGGCCCATGGATTAAGCCAGGCCCGTGACACAGTCCTATTCAGCCTGCGAAAATATTTTGAATTTCTATTCTTATTAGCCCGTTTCACCCTGAGATGCACTACAGTCCCCAGCATGCCCTGCAACGTAGTGTGCGTTCTGACCTCCTTCCCCCAACAACAATCTGTGGGCCAACAGTTACACAAAAAGAAAAGATGCCTGGTGTCTAATTCAAGCAAATAGACAGTTTTTAAAAACTACCCAGAACAATTTATTTTCATTTAGAATTATTTCTGAATAAGTATTCAGTGCTTTGCTGTTGCAGGTTTGGCATATTTAATGGAGGGACAGGCACCACCGCATTGTCTCCTGCATTGTATTCATGCAATTACTTTGTTAATTTTTGCACTGCATATTAATCTTATTGATTATTGTTTTAGTATATTTTATTCTATTATTTATCTCTACTTTCTTTTCATATATCTGTAAATATTGTATGGCAATACTTTGCTCCTGTTCATTGTGCTCTTGTTTTGCTCTTTACTATACTTTCTACTGCTGCAATAGGAGAATTTCCCTCTGGTATGAATACAGTGATCGATCGATCTATCTCTATCCATCCAACCATCCATCCAGCCATCCATCCATCCATTCATTCATTCATCCATCCATCCATCCATTCATCCATTCATTCATTCATCCATCCAACCATCCATCCATCCATCCATCCATCCATTCATTCATCCATCCATCCATCCATCCATCCATTCATTCATTCATCCATCCATCCATCCATCCATCCATCTAATCTATATTTTGAATGTTAAGCAAAAATGAAATAAAAACACAGCTGGCCCACAGATTTGCTGAGATTTTTTAATATGGCCCTTTTAGTGGTTGGATTTGACACAAATGTACCTGTACAGGTACATTTCTCGTTCTTCAAGGTACAAACAGTGCAAATGTTCCCTCGAAGGTACGACAGTGGTTTTAAGGTCCAATCGTGAACCTTAATAAGTTTTAAGTTTTAAGTGATAGTTTTTCCAGGTGAAAAGTTTGTATTTGTACCTTTTCATAACCGAATGTTTTAAAACAGAACAATGAAGTAAAAAGCCTGGAGACGAGACGGGGTGTGTGGAGTCAGTACAACTTAGAAAATATAATTTCAGTGGATTATGGTTCAGTTATGTTCCCTGACTAAAGGTACTGAGATGTACCCTTGAGGGAACCACCCCAGTGACAAGAGGGCATTGCCCAAATGACAGTTTACCACCTTTATTTCTAAAAGAGTGTACTGCAGGTTTGAAAACGTGACTAAGTGCAGGTATGCGTGTATCAGATGAAGTAGATGAACCTTACATCGTACTACACTTGCAGTTGTTTTAAGTTCGTTTAATACGTGTGCTCATGCACAAGGGTGTGCCAGTTGTGGTGCCCATGTGAAATGTTTTAAAGGTTATGTATGTGTGTATAAAGGTGTGGGAGGTTTGATGCGTGTACCTCCTGACAGCTTGTGAAGGAGATCTCTGTTTGCTGCTTCCTCCTGAATGACTGAGAAACCTGTTGGGTCAGAAAACAAAGTATTCATATAACATCACACACACACATACACAACAGGTATCAGGAAACATGCAGAGGGCTAACTAAAAAAAAGAAAAAACACACGCACTGCCAGGTCTGCCACACTGTACAGGTAAGTGAAACTGCGAACTAATTTGCATCTTTCACTGTCTGACAAACGTAACTACCGAGCAGTAAAGTACATTTCCATGACATTGTTTTCTCTTTTCAACACCAGTGAGATGACACTGGTATGCAGAACCAGTCACACCTGACAGATCGTTTTTCATCATCATAAAGACATTCTGATCTAAGGCTTACACGTACGCTGAAATTAATTTCTATAAAAAACAATAAGCCACAGTGACTTCACCGCAGTTCAAGGGAACCTCCAAGAGCTTTTTACATTTTCTGTATAATTCAGTTGCTGAGATGTAAAAAAAGTCATTCGGAGTGGTTTGGTGTGAAGTGGTGAATTATAGAGAAACGTACAGACTCAGATCTCTTTACAGTGGTGGTGATAAAATACAGCCATTTTATTTACTATACAAAACCACCAGTGAACCGACATGCGTTTTAATATGTAGTGCTGGTAATAGTAAAACAACTACTGGAGACTATTAATTTTAGGCCAAAATCTTCTCACAAATATCACATAACAGTGTTTCAGGCATTATGCAGTGTATTCATAACCATTTCATGTAATAACTTCCTGTGAAAGAGCTTTTAGAGGTGGACATCTGGTTCACCGCCACTGTGACTCAGTAAGTTACCTAGAATTGGGAATTTCACATTAAACCTGTGAATGACTGTTTACATCTCAAGCAGTAGATCAGTGTATACAGACTGAGGTTCATAAAGTGGTTTTCTGTTCAGATGATTCATTTGATTTTTTTTACATTCCGCATGCCTTTGGATTTTTCATATTCAACATTTGTGTTCAGCAACTGGTATTACTAAAAAGCTGAGTTTGTGCTGAATCAGATGATATCAAACACTTACAGACAGTTTACTGTACAGCCACTTTATAAGATACACTCAAGCAGCTACTCCAAATCTTAGTGGATTAGAGAATTAGATAAACTTAAAGAATTAAGGTATAATAAAATTTATATCTAATTCAACATATTTCAAAAGTGGAGATCAAACAGCCAGACAGATAACTTGACCACAAATTATCGTAGATAGATTACAGTATATTATTTATCATGTAATATCATTAATTTCTTGTTCACGGAAATCATGAAATATTAAATAAATAAATAAAAATATATATTAGGAATATTTAAACTAGTAGTGTCAAAGTGAACATGGTACTAACGCATTAGCATGATAAATTTAGCATTAATAACATCACCAATTTTTTAACGGTATTAACATGTTTTCAAACCATCCATAGTTTCAGGCTGAAGCCCAGCTGCTTGTATGCTGTTGTTGTCATGCTTCCTTCCGTTCCAGCTGTCACTACTTCCCAGCCTCCATCTCCCAGAACACCTCACTTGATCACGTGACCTCAGATCTCCCTCACATGACTCTTCACCATTCAGCTTCACCTGACTACTGATTCACCTCAGCTGTTCCTTGTTTCATGTGAGCTGTTAGTTTAGTATATAAGCCCAGGCTTCAGCATAGGATCTTTGCGAAGTATAGCCTTTGTTTACCGAGCCCTCCATTCTGTTTGTCTGCTTTATTGTGTATGACCATTGCTTTGTTTGTTTTCGACCTTGCCTTTTGTCTGGCCCTCTCAGTATTGTTGTGATCTCTGGCTTGACCTCGTTTTCTGGATTTAAAACTTCCCTCATGGTTACTGTTTTTATGATCTGGCTTTTGACTTTGGACTGGTAGACGATAATTTTGGATACTCCTTTTGTTAATAAACCTATTTTACTTCAGTGTGGTCTGATTTCTGGTTTGACCTTATTTTCGGGACTTAAAACTTTGTTTTTTGAACTTCCCTCATAGTTACTGTTTATATGATCTGGCTTTTGACTTTGGACTGGTAGACCTTGACTTTGGATACTCCTTTTGTTAATAAACCTATTTTACTTCACTGTGGTCTGCAAGCGTCTGAATTCTGAATTCAGCTGTGAGTGGTGGCCGGAAACCCTGCGCACCCACGAGAGCCGCTAGAGACAGCGGGAGGAAAACAACAGCCGCAAGTTGCTTTGATGAATCTGTCCATTCATATAGCTATAACAAAAACACTGCCTTTTAAATGGAAAAAAAAAACCTTTTGGATCAAATTACAGCAAATAATATATGACATAAATACAACAAACTAAGGCGATTCATTACAACTAAACTATTTTAATTGTTCTGACAGCGCTAATTTCAGTTCACAGTGTATAAGACATAGTTGTATATAAAATCACAAAAAGTGTTCATACAGCTTGTGATTTCAAACTTAATCATAGTGTATATAAATATGAAAACATGCTGAATACTTTCCAATGGTTTCAGATGATGGACCCACACGGACGCACACAGACACAGACGCAGTATTTCTTTTCCATTCACACACACTTTCATGTCTACACAAGCCTGCCGACACCCACACCCAGAAATATGTACACATGCATGTTTGGCCACACACGCACGTTCACATACATGCATGCATGCCAGCAGGCAGGAACACACTGCCAAACTCAAACACACACACACATAGGAGGTGAAGCACTACACATATTATTAGATTTGACTGTCAAGGTTTCAATATCAGATTTAATTTTCAATATTTTATGTGTTAAAATATTCTACAGAGATCTAATTATACAGTCAGGTCCATAATTATTTGGACAGTAATACAATTTTTATAATGTTGCCTCTGTACACCACCAAAGATTTGGCACCAAGAAGTCAAGATGTGATTGAAGTGTAAACCTTCCGCTTTAATTCAAGGGGTTTAACATAAATACTACATTAACCACTTAGGAGGCCACCACAGGCTCAAAAGTATTTGGGCTGTTCCAATGTTATTTCATGACAAATTAAGGAGATAGAAGGTATGGAGTTGACTCCAAGTGTTGAACATGCATGTAGTAACTGTTCAAGGGATCTTGCAATATGCGGTCTAAAGGGGTCATCAGCAGATGAGGGACTTGTCGGTTATTTAACCCCTTAACAATCCAGGCTTATCATATACAAAGACTTACGTGACGGAAACTGAAAAAACATAACAAACCATTAAGAGAGATAGCAGAAACTTCAGGAGTGGCCAAATCAACAATGTGGTACATTCTCAAAATGAAGGAATGCACTGGCGAGCTTAGCAACGCCCAAAGGCCTGGAAACAACAGAAGACAGCTGAAATGGATGATTGCAGAATTCTTTCCAGGGTAAATCAAGGACATTCTAGACAAGTGTATCATTTTCAAAGTCTACGATCAAGAGACACCTTCATGAACGTAAATACAGAGAGTTTAGCTCAAGATGCAAACCACCAGCAACACTCAAGAACAAAGGGGCCAGATTATACATTGCTAGAAAACATCTTAAAAAGCCTGGCCTGTCTACATCAAGATTCAGAATGATGGGAGGAGATGAATATGGAGAAGGACAGGAAGGGCTCATGATCTGAAGCATATCATATCATCTGTCAACATGGTGGAGGTAGTGCTACAGCATGGGCATGTACAGCTACCAGCGGAACTGAGTCACTGGTGTTTGATAATATGACTGCTGATAAAAGTAGCAGGATGAATTCTGAAGTATATACAGCTAAACATTCTGCTCGGATTCAGTCAAACGCTTCAAAACTGATAAGAAGGAACTTCACAGTATCGATGGATAACGGCCTGAAACATCCCGCAAAAGCAACGCAAGAGCTTCTTAAGGCAAAAAAATTGAATGTTCTTAAATGGCAGAGTCAGTCACAGACCTCAACCCGAACTGGGCATGCTTTTTTCGGTTAGTAAAGACCAAACTGAAGCCAGAAGGACTCACAAACAAGCACCAACTGAAGGCGGCTGCTGTAAAGGCCTGGCAAAGCATCTCAGGGGAGGAAATTCAGGATTTGGTGATGTCCATAGGTTCCAGACTTCAGGCAGTCATTGACTGTAAAGGATTTGCATCCAAGTATTAAAAATAATCCTTGTATTTATAAGTATGTTAGTTTTTCCAATTCTTTTTAAGCCTATGAAAATGAGGGGGAGGGGCCATGTTAAAATGGATGTAAGTCCTAAACGGTTGACGCAATGATTTAGTTAAACCCCTTGAATTAAAGCTGAAAGTCTACACCTCAATCACATCTTGAGTGCTTCATTTCAAATCCACTGAGGTTATGAGGCAAAATCACAAAACTGTGTCACTTATGGACCTGACTGTATATTATGCTGGTTTGGCCTCAGCAGATGAGGGGCTTGTCAGTTATTTATTCCCTTTAGCAATCCAGGCTTATTACATACAAAGGCTTATTATTCAGTAGCTACAAGGACTTGTGCAAACTAATGGAGCTATTCTTAGGTTACAGAAGTCATAATAATAATACTCTGGGCCCGCCGGCAGGGCCATGGCTTGTTAAGAGATTAGATGAGGGAAAGCCCAAACATGTGCACAGTATGACATCCAGTGGTGTGTGCACACCAAAAACATGCATACACTCAATGTCAGTACACAAGGTCTCTCTCTCTCTCTCACACTCTACCTGTGTGCTCTCCCCGCTGCCCTCCTACGGTGGATTAGACTTTCTGCTCTACAAATAAGGGATCGCCTCCTGATGATTTCATGGTCATGTGAGCAGCAATTGCGTCCCAGCATGGAGCAGCGAAGCAGGAAAGGGGAAAAGATGCAGTGGAAGATGGAGGGGGAAAAAAAGGGAGGAAAGCATGTAACATTTGTTAGTTAGCAGAGGACAGAGGGCGCTAGAGACACAAAGAAAGAGACAGAGAGAAAGAGAGTGAAATAGAGAGAAGAGCAAGTGGGAAATGATGTAAAGAAAGAAGGGAATCATAGTGATATGGACATTCTGAAAGAGTGTCTGTGTGTGCGATTCTATATAGAGGTTCTACAGTTGATGGAAATGATGTGCGCATTTGCTGATGTTTGTTCATGTGTGTGTTTGTGTGTGTCCCACCTGTTCTGCTGCTCTTGCTGTAGAAGCTGCACTGCTATCTTCCTCAGGTCCAAAACTTCCTTGAGTTCATCCTCCTCTTCCTCCGCAAGCTGCTCTTTCTCCGATCTGCGAGATATAAGGATATAAGGATATAAGGAAGGTGTCAACAGGTCAACACGCCACCTTTCACATTCCTGTGCGCACACATACACGCACCATTCTGTTCTGTCCGTTGTACTGTCTCCGCTGTTTTCTCAAGCATTTAACTCTGCCTGAGCTAAAGACGCACTGGTGACACAGTCAGTCTTTGGCTACGTTCACACAGCAGATAAAAGTGGCCTAAATCTAATTTTCACACCAATATCTTTTAAATGTGATCTACATGCGACATTAGTCTGAACAGATCTGAACGCTCCTAAACTGACCTGCCTGCACAAAAGAACAATGCTTAACGTGGCTCATCCAGAGCTAAACAATCAAAACGGTGTCAACAGTAACAGCCACTCCCAGAGGTTTCAATGAGTGTGTTTACATGCACTAAATAATCCAAAATTGCAGATTTTGTCTGTAATCTGATCAACGTGTTTACATGTGCTTAGGTAAACAGATAATGGGAAACGCCGGGTCTACATGAGTCAGGCAGTAATCGGATTTCTGCTTTGCATCCAGCAAATAAAGTCGCTGAAGAAGACGTGACGTAAAAGTAATTTAAAAATCGAACTTCATGCCGTGGCTTTTTTTTAAAACATCGTGCAACTTTACCTGAAACTAAGAACATACATCATCTGCAAGATGAAGAATATTTAAATCCCTCATTTTGTCGAGTATATAGTTGGTTTCAGCGTCTCTCCAAAGTGTTTTGCTGTGTCTCGTGGCAACGCTGCTTGCTTATTTCTGGTACCGCCGCCTGTTTCGCACAGGCGCAAATGAAGAAGTCGAAAGAAATCAGAGTAAGAGCCTACATACACTGAGAAATCTGATTACTGAGCTAAAATCCAGCTCTCTTTACTTCTAATCAGACTTCTAGACCTTACTCTGATCTAAACAATCAGAGTATGCTGTTCAATGACCATTTGAATAATCAGATAACTGCAGAAATCCGATTATGATAGCATTATTGAGTGCATGTAAACGCACTCGGTGTCATCTTCGCCAGCATCACAGTTCCGCTCGCACGTTATTGGCCACTTCTTTGATTTCTTTAAACTCCGCTGTCAGACATTTAACTTTTCTCTGATGCTGTAGTCTCGCTCTCCTAGAGCCATGTTTGGCCATTTCATTTAAAATCTCTTCCAACATGGAGCAGTTTGGATGAGTTTTCTAATTTTGTTTGTACAGAAATATCAGCAGTTCATGAGTTCCCAGCAGTGCCAAATTATGATGAATGTCGAATTGGATGGATGTAAAAGTCGCATAAATTCACAAGAAGTCGCATTGCTGCATATCGGATACGTATCGGGTTTCAATACCACATATGAAAGTGTCTCAAATTGGAATTGAAAATGTCAGGTTCAATGTGGTTTTTGCTGTTCACACTGCCAGACAGAGAACACATCTGTGTCACATATGAAGAAAAAGATTGGATTTGGGCCACTTTGCCTCTGTTTACCCCTTACTGCACAATGTTTCATCAGGGTAACAAACCCTGAACCATTTTCCTCATTTTACAATGACATGATATATAAGTAAATAACAATGAAAGGGTCAACAAAGAAGAGTTTGAATGAACCAATAACTTCAACTTAGTCACACTATGTCCTGGTGGGCACATTTACACCTTTTTCTGACACAGTCAAGCTTGTGTTTAACACATGTTTCAACACCAGAAAATTTCCCTTTAAAAAGCTTAATCATTTTGGATTCACCCATAAACGTGACTCACATCTCTTAGACTGTGAGGTTCATTTTTTTATGTTTAGTATTGCATAAATATATATATTTTTTGTTATGAGTAATTGCTGAAATATTGCTGTTGTGTAGAAGCAACATTGTGCAACAGTGGAAAGGTTTTAGCCAGAAGAATGTGAAACGTCATTTATGCAGCCATAGTGAATAACATGGTGTTAACTTTGGGGATTCATGGATGGTATCAATAAAAAGCCAATTTGATCATTTATGTTTGTGAATAACATTTCCATAAAATCTCCCTGCTCAACAATACCCTGCTGTCACTATAAGTTGAAACAGAGTGTCTGAGAAAAACTGTGAGCAGTGAGCAAAAACAGGCTCTCACTGGCAGCTCATGGCCAGCATGCAACTCCAATGCAAACAGCTCACTCTGCAAACTTCATGTGTATCATATTACTGTTAGCCAGCTACATTAAAAACAGACAAGCAGACACAAAGAGCTGTCAAAAGGTGCCCTTGTCTTCCTCTGTGTCAGCCTTTGTTTCTGTGTACCATGTGCTTTTATTTTAGTCAGCAACATGCTTTGTTGCTATGGTTGTTATCTTGGTGTTCGCTCCTCCTCATCCTGTCCTGTCTTCGGACCTCACCTGTTTCTTGTTTCTGGCTCCACCCCTGTGAGTTACTCAGCTGTTCCTTGTTCTGAGTGGTTGTATATATGTCCCTCTCTTTCTCTTGTTCAGCAGCCAGCATTACACTCACGCTCTCTGGGCTTGGTTTGTGTTTCCAGTTAGTTCTCTCATCCTCTTTGATCGCGTCTTCAGTTCTGTGCTTCTTTGGTTCAAGTTAATTCTTGTGTTTATACTCGTGTTCAGTTCCGTGCTTGAGTTCATGTTCATAGTGTTCGGTTTTTTACTGCTTTTGTTTTCTTTGTATTCATCTAAAGTTAATGTTCACTAGTTTTCCTAGTCAGTTTAGTTCTTAGTACTATCATGTTTTCTGTTTCATTCATGGATCCACACACCATTTACGTTCCTGTTTGTTCTCTGGATGTTTACAATAAAGGCTATACAAAAGGACGCTCGCACTTGCACCCCATTTGCCTCAGCAGTCCCAACGTTAAGGGCTGACAAAGCCACGGCGCTGCTGAATTCAAGTCCCTTTCACCCATGTGAAGTAAGCTGCTATAGTGTTTCAGGGTGAGTCCAGGTGAAGGGTGTCATGGCTAAAATAGGCTGAGAAACACTGCACTGTGACTAAACATGAAGGCATTACACCATATCAACGCTAGCATGTAATATTAGTGTCTAGAACCCACTTCAGTCACTATGTCCTACTGGTGTCAACTGTTTAAAAAATAAAAGTCAATTCTGATTATTTAAAATTTACTTGATACCTTTAATGTTTTAAGATGGTTATTATTGTGTTTAATTAACCTGTTAGTTGTGGCTTAGAACTGTTTTCTGTTTTTGTATCATTTATAGCATGTAAAGACGAACAAATTAGATAGTTACTCACTGCTGCATAAAGTACCCTCCCTTGCATTATTTTAAACTGCTTTTTATGTTCATAATCAAATCCATTTTATGCAAGATCTGCCCCCAGAGTAGCTGGTGTGCATGCATGTCCATGTTGGTCAGTAAAATGGATCAGCTTGTGGATTTCAAGCTTTCTGCATGCTACTGTATTTTTTATCACTATATACAAACCCAATTCTAAAAAAGTTACAGTACAGGGACAGTAGGTAAAGCGCAAATACAAACAGAAAGCAGTGATTTATACAAAGTAGTATAAAGACAAGGTATGTAATGTTTTACCTTATCAACATATAGTTGTAAATATATGTTCATTCTAAAATATACGCCTTGAAGGCATCCCAAAAAACTTGGGACAGCAGTTTCGGTCTTGCTTGTTTAAAAATAACATTCCTCAGACACGACAGGTCACCATGTGAGCTCAGAAATACACAAGTTAACACTACACTGTGCACAGCGGAAGCCACATATCAACAACATCCCGAAATGCCACCAACTTCTCTAGGCTTGAGCCCTTGGTCTGATGGGGACCATCCGAATTGATACAAGCGGAAAGTTCAAAAGCCAGCATCTGTCACAGGATGAGGAGACAGCTTGCATGTCTGTGTACAACGTGAAATAAAACTTAACAAGTTGATATAATTTACTGACAATTAATCAGTTCATTTTTGACCAGATTTCAAGAGCACGACTGGCACCAAAATGCCTGCATTTGCATGCTTGCTAACCGCTTCTCTAACCCTAAATCTAGCTCTACGGCTGGTCTCAAAGCCAAACGCTATATCTACTGATAATAACCTCAGTTATACCAGTTCATCAAAAAGAAACAGAAAGAAACACAAACGAAAATCAAAGCCACCTTTCATCAGATTAAATGATCAATTCTCTGCTTTGCTTCTTTCCCACAAATGACGCTATCAAATATCAAAGTCTTCTTTGGAAGACGATAAACTATTGACTTATTGAAATGAAAATTATGAAAAAACCCCAAAGAAAAGAAAAGCCAACAAAAGTTACTCTGATTGAATTATCTGTTTTCCAAGAAACCTTCCCGTCATATGGGGCGTCCCAGAATAAGCTTGTGCTATAAGGCTAAAATTCCCTACGCCACAAACACCCATAAACACATACACACAGTGGGTGCGGCTACAGACATGGATTTCGAAAGTGGAGCTTTGTGATGGTTTGCCTACAGCAAAAACTCAAAATTATTCATACAACTCCTTGGAATTGGGGACATTTTTGAGGATCTTGGACTGCATTATTTCCTGCTGGTGGAAGCTTCTTTGGAATATATTACACACACTGTGAAGGAACAGAATGTCGAAGGCTCCCAGGAAGCTAAGGTACACGTAGTCATCACACATGCTGCTTACCAAATAATCAAGATTGTATACTACATGGAATACGTGTCTATTATTGCATTATTATAAACATGTAATACTGTACAAGCCCCTAAATTGCAAGCTTTTTATTCTATTATGTTATGGCCATGTATTATTTAGTAAATGCCGAAGATTCTTTAGTAGCTATTTTGAGTAACCACAATAATTTTACTAATAATTACCTTATAATAACTATTATAAACTATTCAGCAACTACGAATTAGGGCTGAAACATTTATTTAACACTACTGATAAAACCATTGGTGATGTTTCATTTATATTTGATGGCCAACCTGAAGTGAGTTAACCTGCAGGTGGCAGCAATTCACATATAATGCCGTATGTTTGTGACCATTTAGCGAAAAGAAAACGAACACTAATGGCTGAAAAGCAGAAACAAGAAGTCTGGGTGCATTTTCTAAAATGAAAGATAAAGTACACATACAGCATATACAAGTCTGACTTAGCCTTCCATGGAAGCACAACGTTACCACTGTCCACAGGAAAACAAAACATGCTAATGTCAATTCTGAAGCAGCAAAACACTGAGTAAACAGTAGCCCTCCCTTCATGCTGGTGTTCTGGACAGGTTTAAACACAGCACCACATTTTTTTCCATAGAGGCAATTTAGCTCTTGGTGAACAGAATCTCTGTTTGTCATAACATTTGCAAACGTTTTATTTTTACAGCATATTCATATTTACAAGCCACATTTAAGCCTGTCAATAAACTACAAGTAGGATAGTTTGATAGTCTAAATGTCCTTATCAGAAAACGTTTCTGCATTGAAAGAATAAACAGAATATTTACATATCCTAAATCAGCTTATCGGGGGGAAATAATAACTTAAGCTCAATCTGTACTGAATTAAAATTCAGTAGCTAGCATAGCATAAAGTACTAGGTAGCCTAAGCTTGATCTTAGTGTGAGCTGTCCTGACAACCATGGTGACTACTTCTGCATTGCTTATGGTTGTTAATATTTTCAACCGTTAATATTTTCACATCTTTTCATGTCATGTCTTCGTTTTCTTGCACCAAACTACCAATATCAATAAGAGTGCTGATAAGTATCGTTACTGATATTATATAGATATAATCCTAACAATATCCGATCCCTATCAGTAACTAATATAAACTATTCAACTAAAATGATTTCACAATGAATTATTGGGTAACTACTATATAATTACTATTAACTATTTGGGAGCCACAACTTTTTATGTCCATTTCACATCTTGGCTGTAAATATGTCTCAGTATGTGTTAATGTGCTGGTACAGGCTAAAAATATATTCTAAATGAAAAAGCAGACCTACTTTGCTCAGCTTTAAGCTTTAGCTCAGATACAGACGCTTTTCTCGCATCTCCAGCAAGAAATTCTTTTCCGCAAAAGTAGAATAGTTTTTTGCGAAATGTCTCTCAACGTTCAACTTTTTATGAGGCTGAAGTCGCTTCTCATTTGCCAGCTTCCTGTTTGAATTTTCGCGTTCCATCTTAAATGGTGCCTGAGGCGCCAGAATGTAACAGCTGCACCATTTAAGGCGGAACTGACTTCAACCTCACGACTTTTGACAGTTTCTCCTTGAAACCAGCTGGAGTGAATATAAATGCAAATAAGTCCATTCGTCTCTAATTATCGATGTTTGTCTTAAATTTCTCTCTTTGCCTTTTTTTAGCTTCTAGCTAGGCAAGATTGTTTGCATTGCTATGTGACCAGCAGTCTGCGCCCCAACCTTCAAGGTTAAAGGGTGAATTGGCAGTTATAGGCTACATTAACTCCAGTGTTTAAGACAATTTAGTGTTAAAACTGTGTTTGAACGATCAGCAGAGCTTTATTTTACTTTTAAAAGAGGGATTATTTCGTTTTTACCTAAAAATCTAATTCTGCTGCGGAGACACAACAGGGCAGTAAAAGAGCACATGCAGCTCTGGAGCTTCATGTTGCTGACCGCTGCCTTAGGGGTTGAAGTTCTTTGGTGTTCTGATGTTGACTACAAGTGAATAATGTCAAGAACGTAAATGCAATGAGATATAGTCACATCTCAGTCTGTTAGGGTCATGTAATCATCCATCTTAGAAGGAGTCAGAGTATTACTATGTCTTCCTTTAAGTAGTGGTTTGTTTAATAATCAAAAGTACACCATTTCCCACTTTCCCAATATGTAGTCGATCAGCCAAGACCAAGACATGTTTGGTGTCTGAATTTAGTTTTTTTTTGGTTGACTACACTGTCAATAGTCACCCAAATCTTTTCTGTAATTACATCCTCTCGACCTGCCTAAAACAGCTGTTCCCAGCGTTCAACTTCACAGTGAAGTTCTTTTATAGTTCACAGTAAGTCGTACTGTGACTTAAATAACACAGACAAGTCTGTGCAACCTTAATGAAGACATGGATGCAGATTGAGTGGGTTGAGAGACGTTTTGGACACGTATTCACAGAAAAGATTTGAGTGACTATTGTCTTGTTTGTTAGCAACATAAGCAATACAGCTCAAAAACCAAACATGTCTTGCTTGATCTACTATATTTGCAGCATTAGATTTTTCGTTAAACTATTCCTTCAAGTTTAATTGATCAAAAGCAGACAGATTAGGGGTTACTATAGTTCTCTGACAGCACACAAAAAAAAACACACAGACATACACACACATGTATACGTATGTGGGTATTTTTCTACCCTGATTTTCCACCTGGGAACGCTGGGTGTGGGCTAAAATGACGCAATTCCTAGGTTTAGCTTTTCCAGGTAAAGCGCAACATTTCTAAAGAAGAATGAGTCACTTCATCAGATCAGACCAGCCTGTGTTCACTGCTCTTTATCTTACACACACACTTTCACTCACTCATTCAGACACACACATACACATTTTCAATTTCTCTGCCTCACACACACACACACACACACACACACACACTCAAACACACTCTCACGCACCTTTTCCTTTCCATCTCTGTCTCTCTCACACAAATGATTTAGAAACTATTACGAATGACTACAATAATTTATTATATTAATAATTATCTTATAATAACTATTATAAATTATTCAGCAACTACGAATTCAGGCTGAAACAATCATTTAACATTATTAAGTTTGATAGAATCCAAACCCCAACGAACCAGGGAACTAGGTCTGTTGTTTGGACAAAGTGAAGTTTATTTATTGTGCGCACAGGTTCCAGACAGCCAGCCAGCCCGTAAGACAATGGACTGTCACAGTTTTATAGCTGGACTGATGCCAAGAAAAGACTCAGCCTATACATGTCAAGTGACAGGTATGACAGACACGACCATATAAGGAGAAACACAACAATAGGCAGCCTAAAATACAACTTCACATAAACACACAACACAGCACATTTCACAACAGTAAGTTCCTTCAAGTTATTTCCGTTGGTAATTTTTCATTTACATTTGATGGCCAACCTATAGTGAGTTAACCTGCAGGTGGCAGCAATTCACAAATAGTGCCATACGTATGTGATCATTCAGTGAAAAGGAAATAAACACTAACGGCTGAAAGTTTAAAAAAGTAGAAAAAAGAAGTCTGGATGCTTTTTTTACAATGAAGGATAAAGTACATTCACACACACACATTTTCAATTTCTCTGTCTCTCTCTCTCTCTCTCTCTCTCTCTCTCTCTCTCTCTCTCACACACACACACACACACACACACACACACACACACACACACACACACACACACAAATATGCACAAACATGGATTTCCACTGACCTCTAGTGGACATTAAGTGAGGAGTGTGTGTGTGTGTGTGTGTGTGTGTGTGTGTGTGTGTGTGTGAGTGAGTGTGTGTGAAGGGCCTTACCCAGATTCCTCCTTCCAGTTCTCCTTGTCTTTGCTTTGGTGTGTTTTAAGAACCCTCTCCAACTCCTACATACAGAAACAGAAAAAGACAGATGGACAGACAGACAGACAGAGAGAGAGGAAGATACAGAGTGGGAGAGAAAGATAGAGAGATATAGAGTGAGAAAGATAGATTCAGAGGGAGAGATACAAAGTGAGAAAGATACAGAGCGAGAGACAGATACAGAGAGAGATACAGAGTGAGAGATACAGAGCGAGAGAGAGATAGAGAGAGTGAGAGAAAGTAAATAGAGCGAGAGACAGATACAGAGAGAGATACAGAGTGAGAGAGAGATACAGAGCGAGAGAGAGATAGAGAGAGTGAGAGAAAGAAATACAGAGTGAGAGACAGAAATACAGAGCGAGAGAGATACAGAGTGAGACAAACAAATAGAGAGCAGAGACATAGAACCAGAGAGAGAGTGAGAGATAGAGACAGCGAGAGAAAGAAAAAGAGAGGCAGAGTGAGAGAGAGAGAAAGAGAGAGAGAGAGAGAGAAAGAGAGTTAGAAAAACAGTAATGTCATTATGAAGGAGTGAACACGCTGAGCTGTATCATTATAATGGAATGTGTGTAACCTTTATGCAGGACACGTAGGGCGTGCTCTGCTGCAGATCTCCCTCACACAGCACTGCCTCTTCATCTGGGTTCGGGTCAATGAAGTCATACGGGTCCTGATCTGCACACACATATTTATGTTTTTAATTTCCTTAAATGCCAAATAAGGAACACAACAGGAAATGGCACCACAAATAAGGCTTTAGTGAATATCAAGGGTTGGAGGGATACAAGCACACAAGGGGGGGAAGTATAAAAGTGAACACTAGCGTGACTCTGTCTCATGATATTGATTTTACTCTATCATGGATATCGTCACAAATCCAAAAACAAATGAATACTTCTCATTATTTCTCTTTATTTATTTTTCCTCTGTTATTGTCCAGACACTGGACTTGAGTTCACAGTGGTTGCACTGGTTTCAACTGCAAGTGCTGCTAAAATGGAGTAGATCTTTCCAAGTTTAGGAGGTGCTGCATCCACTCATGCTTAGATTACACTGGGAATCGGCAACCCACACGTTTCAACAAAAAATGCATCCACCTTGGGAGCCACGGCATTTTATGTCCACTGTATTGAAATAAAGTTTTACCATCTTGGCTGTAAATATGTCTCGGTATGTGCTAATGTACCAGGATAGGCTAAAAAAATATAAACAAAAACACAGACTTATTCACTGCTTTAAGCTTTAGCTCAGCTATAGCTGCTTTTCTCGCATCTCCAGCAGGAAACTTTTCCTCAAAAGTAGAACAGTTTCTTGTAAAATGTCTCTCATTGTTCAAGTTTATACAAGGCTGAAGTCAGCTTCTCATTCGCCGGCTTCTTGTTCGAATTTTCTCGTTCCACCTTAAATGCTGCCAGAATGCAACTGCTGCGCCATTTAAGGTGGAGCAGCACAATTCGAATAAAAAGTTGGCAAAAGAGAACCTGACTTTTTAGCGTTTGACAGTTTCTCGTTGCAGATTAAACATATCAGGAAACCAGCTATGGTGACCAGCAGTCTGCGCACCAACCTTCAGGGTTAAAGGGTTAATTAGCAGTTCTACATTAACTCCAGCGTTTAAGACCATTTACTGTTAAACTCTGTTAGAACGATCAGCAGAGCTTTATTTTACTGCAAAGGAGGATTATTTTATTTTTACCTAAAAATCTAATTCTGCTGTGGAGCCGCAACAGGGCAGTAAGGGAACTGCATGCAGCTCCGGAGCCACATGTTGCCAATCCCTGGACTACACCTTTAAGACATGCAGAGTAAACAACTGCCATTGTAAAAGGTGAATGGTTAAAAAAACAGCCCTGCTGTGCAACAGCTGACCAATCCATGTGTCACCCAGCAATGTTTTCTTTCATAGCTACTGTTGCCAGGATTAACATGCTGGCAAAAATCCAATTCACTCTAAGGGCTGTTCATTCTCACTGGTCGACTTGTCACTCAAAACTCTCGTAAAAAATTAAGCATCTGTGAAAAATATTTTGTAAGCAGCTTGCTAACAGAGGCTCGCAGCAGGTGCTGTGTTTTGAGATGTCCTCTGCGTAAAAGTCTTTTAGACTTTAGACGTTTAGAGTTTGTGTTTCAGTTTGTCTCAGACTCAGACACTAAATGGGTTTACATGGACTTAAAAATCCGATAACTGCAGAAAAGCAGATTTTGTCAGTAATCCCATCAGCGTGTTCACACGCACTTGACTAATCAGATAACGGGAATCTCCAGGTCTACATGAGTCAGGCAGTAATCAGATTTGTTTTGCAACCAGCCAATAAACTCACAGAAGAACATGTAAACGTAACATAAACTCATACTTTATACCGCAGCTTTCTTTTTTAAAACATCGCGCCACTTTACCTGAAAATATGAACATCACATCATCTAGAAGATGAAGAATTAAATCCTTTATTTCATCAAGCATGTGTTTGGTTTCAGCGTCACTCCAAAAGTGTTTTGCTGCATCTCGTGGCAACGCTGCTTGCTTATTTCCGCATGTGCGGACAGCCAAGATCTCTTTATCGGATCTCTTAATCAGATTTCTAGACCTCACTCCGATCTAATAAATGAGAGTTTGGCCATGTTTACATTTGAAAAATCTGATCAGATTATAATCGGATTATTAAGTGCATGTAAACGCCCACACTGTGGCCACAGTGCATACTAAAACAGAGACAACTACGTACCATTTAAACAATTTAAACACAGAGGTCCCCATCACACACACACACACACATGCACGCACACAAACACACACACACACACACTACCTTTGCTTGAGTCCAGCTTGCACAGGAGTGAGTGGGCATCAGCTCGTGCTGTCTCAGATACCTGAGAGTGTAGACTGATAGTATCATCATCAGAGGGCTAGAGAGAGAGAGAGAGAGAGAGAGAGAGAGAGAGAGGAGAGAGAGAGAGAGAGAGAGAGAGAGAGGAGCAGTTTAAAAACTCTCTTTACATTAAAAGAGTTCACATCTATATGCATCCACTACATTAAGAAGATATATATTTGTGGAAGTGCTTTTGTGTCCATATGCACAAGGTCACTCTGGTGCCCGCAACATGCAATATATGGCCAAAAGTATGTGGACACTCCTCCTTATTATTGAGTTTTGGTGTTTCAGCCACACTCATTGCTAACAGGTGTATACAATTAAGCACATAGCCATACAATATCCATAGACAAACACTGGCAGTACACTGAGTCATACCAAAGAGCTCATTAAACGAGGCACTGTCATTGGATGCCACCTTTGCCACAAGCCAGCTTGTTAAATTTCTGTCCTGCTAGATCTGCCCTGTCAATTGTAAGTGCTATTATTGTGAAATGGAAGTATAAACAACAGCTTAGTCATGAAGTGGTAGTGCTGAAGCATTACAGAAGAACTGTGCATTGGGACTTTCACGGAATGGGTTTCCATGGCCGAGCAGCTGCACACAAGCCTAAGACCACTCTGTGCACTGGATTCCAGAGCAGTGGATTCATGTTCTCTGGACTTATGAATTAAGCTTCGCTATCACGCAGCATGATGGACATATCTGGGTTTGGCTGATGCCGGAAGAATGTTACCTACCATGCTTATACAGCTTCAGCTTAGTTCCAATGAAGGTTAATGTTCATGCTGCAGCATTAAGGCTGTACGATTTTGATACATATTGAGGTGTAGCTGTCAGATACAGTGTGCCTTTAACTGTATATCTATATCAAAACAAAAAGAAATACTAACAGCTACTTACATGAAAACTGCAAGCACAATTTATATGTACTGAAAGGCTGAGAAACAGTCAGCATTACCTCCATAGCTTTTTCTATAAAGGCTATAAAACAGATACATCTTTTTTTTTCAAAGGCACACAAGAACGAATGAATGTTGTTGTTTATTTATTTGTTTTAATATGTTTGTTGTGACAGTAGCCATTACTGCCTCACACACTTAAAACAATACCAGTTGTGAGAACAATTCTAATGTTTTACAGGCTTGTAAATCAGGATGGAGGAGTTTTTGAGCTGTGAACGTGTTTTATAGGTGGCCATTTAGCCGAAGGTTTGAGTTACTTGTTGCCCCACATGGGACAGCAGAGTTCAGTTCTAGCACACAGAAGGGCTCATTAGTCTTCTAAAGGTTTGTGCTGGCAATGTAATGATGTCCCTCTGGAATGAGGTCATCTGATCCATTCTGTCATCGCAGCTCTTAATGATGATGAAGGATAAAAATATGATTTATCGCTACATTACCCTTTATTAATCCCATAACGGTGAAATTCACCTCCACATTTAACCCATCTGTGCAGTGAAACACCCCATACACAGCAGTGAATGCACACACATTAGGGGACAAGGGCGGTGGGCAACTCTATCCACGGCACCCAGGGAGCAGTTGGGAGTTAGGTGCCTTGCTTAAGGGCACTTAAATCACATCCTGTCAGCACGGGAGATTGAACCAGGAACCTTGTGGTCAGCAAGCTGGTTCCCTAATCTCCAGCCCACAAAGGCCACCAAATGAAGCATTCAAGCACAGATGGTGAGAACGGCCTCAAGCGCAAGCCTGTGCTTCCCTCTCTTTCACAGTTTGGGGAAGGCCCTTTCCTGTTCCCGCTTGACTGTGCACAAAGCAAGCTCCCTAAAGACATGAGTTGATGAGTTTGGCATGGAGGAACTCCAACAGCCTGACTTAAATCCCACCTTTGGGATAAACTGGAACGCTGACTGCAAACCAGACCTTTTTATCCAACATCTCAGCTTGACATCAGAAATGTTCTTTTGACTAAATGGCTAAAAATTCCCACAGGCGCACTCCAACATGTGGAACGCCTTTCCAGAGGAGCGGAGGCTGTTATAGCCGCAAGGGGCTAACTCCATATTAAGGATTTTGAAATATGTTCAACAAGCTCATATGGGTGGTCGGCCAGGTGTCCACATACTTTTCTCCATTACTTTATGTTTGGTATGCAGAGAAAATCTGAATTCAAATAATTGATTCATTAACTTACATGTTTATTTCGTAACATTTAACAAACATTTCACAAATATATGTTATTATTCAAATACACAAACTATGGAAGCAATACATAATTGGATTTGCCCTGATAAATTAATACATCCCTTTATGATGGAGTCCTTGAAAACCTGGTCCTAGTCAAGTTAGTTATTAACATTCTCTGGAAGTGGCCATATTAAACATGATCTTCTGTTATATGCTTAAAAAGCGAAAATATTAGTTTATGATTCATATGCCCTTCCCTGTGGTTAGTGGATGGGTCAGTGAAATATCTATAAACAATATCAAAATTACTGGAGTTGCCTTTGTTTGCTAATATATTAGTCAGTGAACTCTTTGGACTCGCTGCAGGTTTATGCATGCCGAGTGAAATCTGCATTTGTTTTGATGGCTTTAAGTGTTGGTAATATTAACTGCCAAACACTGATGTATTTGAAATATCATGTTAATTTGCTTATATAGGAATATAGTCAAAGTTTTTTGTGTTTTTCTGTTGACCACCACTGCACAAAACTGTATAGCTTATAGAAGGTGATCCACCGAGTCATAAAAATAGTGACGTAGTCTAACAGTGTACTTATATATCCTCACTCCCCAAAGAAAACCATGTATGTCCATTTTTGTTGGAATACAATCTCTTTACATTAACTTACATTGAAAGGTAAGAGTGTTGTTGCCTTCTCCTGTAAAGTTACTATTTTGGAGATACTTACTTTTCTTTGGACAGCGATGATATATGTATATAAGTAAATATATATATGCTTAAATAAATGAATACTAAACTACTGCTCATGTTGGGCAGATATCTGACTGTGTGTGTATGTGTGTGTATGTACCTCTGTAGTGGAAAGTCTCTTATCGCCGTTGTCGCTGCCAATACCCGAATCAGGTCCGTGGTTCTTACTAGGGTAAAAATCCTCCATACTACACACACAGACACACACACACACACACACACACACACACACACACACACACACACACACACAAACACACACACAGGTCATATGATGAAAATGGCAGATATGAGGCGATGATAAAATCTGTCTGAAGTAATACGAGAGTAATCAGTAAGTTTTCAGAACACACTGAACCCATCTCTGTTTAGACGGGTCAGGATACCTTAACTCTATGGAACCAAGCATCTCCAGGCCGTTCCATTCTGAGAATCTGGTGATAACCTTGCAAACTCATTTAAATCTGATGCCAGGAGTTACAGCGTGTGCAGGTTGTGTGGGGGCTTTGGCATTATTCACAAGGTATCACTGGCAAACCTTTAATGAGCAGTATTTACAGTTGAGTTAGGTACACTGAGTTGAGCAATATATCGCTGTTGTCGGAAGAAAACCTCGTATCTCCATTTTTGATGTTTTTCAGTTTTTGGCATAATTTGAAAATACATGTTATCCTTTACATTGTATGTAAATTTCATGATGAATGGACTAAAAGAAATGACCCAAAATGACTTGAAATGAAAAAATTCTGGCTCCACTGACTTACATTAAAAGTAAAGCAGGTTTTTTCCTTCTCCTGTCAAGTTACCATTTTGGAGACACAAGGTTTTCTTCCGACAACAGCGATATACTTAATATCCATAGTTTTTATAGAAAGATGTGGGCGCACCTGCTCAAAGCATATGCTTTGTTGATTTTCTAAGTGAAAGTGGTTACACTTAACACGTAGCACCTGTATAACTTTCTGCTTTTGACAGTTGCTGTGAGGGTGGATGGAAGGATTGCCAAAACAGGACAGTAATAGCATGTGTGTACCTGTCTGTAAGCTGCTGCGGTAAGCAGCGTTTGCCCAACGTGGGGAGGTCCAGTGAGTCAGGCTTTTTATCCAGCCGACATGCCTGCATGTTTAAATACTTAAAGATATGAATCTTCCCCTTCAGACAAATCTGAAAATGTAAGATAACACAGGTTAGTTCAGACAAACACTGAAACAATATAATTATAAGCAATATAACAGCAGGAATGACCTCACAGTGATTCGGTTTAATGACAAGTAATTCTTAGAATTCCTGATGCATAATGAAGTCTCAAATTCTCCACAAATCAATTCGATTCAAATATTTCAGCATAATTCAGGATTATTCTAAAGTTACACTGAATGCACAAATAGAACTGGAGGATCTATATAGACTCTAGCAGAATATAAACAAAAAGCAATATATCATAAGCTTTTTTACATTTAGAAATAGTCTGAGGATTTTACTTTGGCCAAAAAATGAGCACATACTTTATTAAACGTTAATACAACCCATTATAAAAACAATCTGAATCTGAATCATCAACTTCTTAAGATGCACCCTTACAGGATAAAAGGGGGTAAAAGGGTCATTCATTCAGAAATCCATAATCAGGACTGGGATCTGACGCGAACATCTTCAATAAGGCCACTAGATGGCACCAACACACATGATTTGAGGTTAAAGAAAAAAGTAGTGCAAAGTTCAGATCATCTGCTACAGAGTGTTGAAAAATGATGCTCACTCTGTCTTCCTAGGATGAGTTGTGTTTAACCAGGTCCTGATTACTTAAAGGAACAGTTCAAATGTAAACTATTTGCCCCTTTGCTTAAATATAGTCGATCATCCAAGACACTTTTGGTATCCAAAGATTTGATAATGAAGCTAACAAGTAAAGGAGTTTTAACTGGCATCATGCGAACTGCATGTCTAAATCGTCACACCTGTCTCAAACCATGTCACGTTTTATAGACAACAGTTTGTCGAACAGTGTTAGCAACTACATAAGCAAATCTATTTGAGCTTAATAACTTCACATGCTTTTGTGTGAACTGCTGCACATAAGCTTCCAATATTTGCTAGCTATATTAGCCTCATGGCTCCAGTGCAAAACTAAAGCTGGGTTAACATTACACAACTTTTAGCCTGATGTAAGCCATGATTCTTAGTTTGGCTAAGTCTGTGCTGGTTAGCTCTAGTCTGCAGACTTTGGGGCAGCTGGAGCCGACGGTTGGGAGCGAAAATCTAGTGTGTGAGGGATGCAGACACAGATTCTTTTGCCGAGTTTCAGTACAGTTAGTGTTCAATGCTGATGTTTTCAAACCGACTCTGGGTGTAATCTAGAAGTATATACTGATCGACGTCTCAATTTGAGCCAATAAAAACTGTGAGTGCGAAGAATTTTTTTAATGAACTGAATTGAATTGAGCGCACATACATCAAAAACTCCAAACACTACCACTCTGATTACATATCTTTGCACCCACAGCCTCCCCTAAGTATGTTCTACTTTTTGCAGCTTTATTGTGTCAATGAGAACAGCAGTGAAACAACAGCACCACAAATTGTTGTTTCTTTGCATCCTCTAGAACAGGGGTGTCAAACTCAACCACTAAAGGGGCCGTATTAAAAAATTGGAACAAATCGGTGGGCCAGAGAATATAATCCCAACTGGCCACTGTTTAGTCAAAATATGCAAACACTTCAGCAGTACAATATAGGCCCTTGAAATACTACGTGAATACTTTAGAATATAAATATTCTAAATTGAAATGTCCCCAGGAGCTCAGTCTTTAATAGCTACCTATTTGCTTGAACTAGACACCTGGCATCCTTTCTTTGCTGCAAGTTCATTAATACTCAGTTTCTGAGCCGCTGAGCTGATGTTAGGTGTTTATATTGGTTGAACTGCAGCTGAAATGCGGTTAGTGTGTTTGGTGAAATGTGTAGAATTGTGTAGAATATTGGTGTAACCACTGTCCCATAGATTGTTGTTGGTGTAGAGTCGGAGCACATTACACTGCAGTGCATGCTGGGGACTGTAGTGCAGCGCATTGTGAAACGGGCTAATATTAATAGAAAATGAAAACACTTTTGTGGGCCGGATAGGATTGTGTTGTGGGCCTGATCTGGCCTGCAGGCCTTGTGTTCAACACATGGGCTCTAGAAACATGAGAATGAGCATGTTTATAACACGAGAATGGTCAGTTCAGCTACAGTTCAGCTAAATCAGTGGGAAAGTGTTGTATAGCCAGTCTGTTAGGGCTTTAAAAGTCATGAACTGCATTCAAGCGTTAACAGAACTTCAGGCACAAAACATGTTTATTAACCCACCCACCCACACACACACACCTGTGCTGGAGGGGACTGCATGGGGTTGTTGTCGAGAATGATGTGCTGCAGCTGGCAGAGCTTACGGTAAGATGGAGGGATTTCAGTGATCTTATTACAGGAGAAATCCAACCTGATCAACGGTAGATCAGACAACTCTGAGAGAGAGAGAGAGAGAGAGAGAGAGAGAGAGAGAGAGAGAGAGAGAGAGAGAGAGAGAGAGAGATTCATCAATCATTCTCCAAGGAAGAAGTAAAATCTGAGTAATGTATAATTAATGTTCTGTAGTGCAGTAAGAAGCCTGGGAAAAGTAAGGAAAGCTCTAAGGATTGGATTTCCACAAACAGGTTAACCTTTGTCCTGGACTAACAGCAGTTTGAGTGGGGGATTGTCACAGAATCATTTACACCAGGACTATTCTTAATCTGTCTCAGAAAACAAGAGTCTTATTCAATTCAATTTAATTACAAATACATAATCAGCGAAATGACTGAAAGCAAAAACAGTATGACTGATAGAGGTAGTGTAGATATGGGTGTATGTGAATATCCTCTAAAGCAAAGGTCAGAGGGTACCTGTGCCCAGGGCATGTGCCCGTCATGCCTACAAAATCTGACCCTGTGAAATTTTTTTGTATGAAGAAAAACAGGTTATAGAACCCAAAGCCTAATAGTATTTGCCATAACAAACTAACACGTCCCTTTACATACAGTGTAACTGACAGTCTCAATTCCACTGTTCATAAGCTTTAGTTTAGTTACACTGTGTCTGAAACCTTCTGCCAAACATCGCTATAAACACAACATTCTACCCTTTCTACAACATGCCTACCCCTTATTAACACAGGGGAACGAGATCCTAATGCGTGGCCTCAACTTAGTAAGGTGTTGGAATGTGATAATTAAGTCGTGGCCATGAATTAGTAAGGCGTGGGAACAAAATCATGCCTTACTAAGTCGTGGCCATGCATTAGGATCTCGGTGGAACGAGATCCTAATGCAATGGCCATGCCTTATTAACACATGGGAACGACACCCTAATGTGTGGCCATGATTTAGTAAGGCGTGGGAATGTGATAATTAAGTCATGGCCACACCTTATTAACACGGGGAAACAAGATCCTAATGCGTGGCCACAAATTAGTAAGGCGTGGGAATGTGATAATTAAGTCGTTGCCAAGACTTACTAAGTCGTGGCCACACACTAGGATCTCGTTCCCACTCTTTACTCATGGCCACGACTTACTTATCTTGTTCCCATGCCTGAATAAGTTGTGGCCACGCATTATTTTTATTCATACAGGATGTTACCAGCGGGGCTCCATAGAAAACAGTAATAGTTTACATTAATAACATAGGCTTACAAGCTATGCTAGAATATTATTAACACACACTGAAAAATAAGATCACAGCAAACAAGTTTCAGCACCTCCTCCTTCAGCACCTCCTCCTTCTTAGACATGAAAATCTGATGCATTAGGTAAAAAATGTCCCTGCTTTGATCAATAATTTTTTTTTTCAGAATCCCTCCTATTTAAATTGCCATATATTTTCAATTGTGAAATAACTGTGTATATCTGCATTAAACGTCTTGTAAAGCCAGTTGATTTTTGAATAATAAAATGCTTTCAAATAAATCTGTCTGTGTGTTTCTCAATTTTCTTTGTGCTACTGAGCTTTTAGTTTACAGATGCCACAAAGTGGCCTGAGATTACATTTTGACAGGCACAGAAATGGAAACTAAGGGAGGCGGGACTTGTCAGAATTTTGTAAACTATAAATATCCATACCAATATACCAATAAATATCCATCAGGCTCCTAATATCACTGATTTAAACAATAACACATGGTGTCACTGAAAGGAAGATCTGTTCTTGTAAAGAATCAAAAGACAGTAGACTGCTAATGGCGTCCCCTTGTGGAGAATTCTTAGTTTGATACAGATGAGTGAGTGAGTGAATCAGTCAGTCAGTCAGTCAGTCGGTAGGTCAGTCAGTTCCATGAGTCAATGTATTTTTTCTTCACTTTAGCATTTAAACACTTTTTATTATTCCTTTACTTAAGCGGCCACTTTTATTTTCATTGTTGTACTTATTTTTATATATTTTTCTTTTTCATCAATGCAACTTGTTGCATTTTTTATTACTTTTGACTGCTTTTAACTGACTACCATTTGCTGCCTTTCCTTTTTTTAACTGTCCCCTGCAGGCAAGTTCTATATAAATAAGAATTTAAGACATGTTAATTAACAATATGAAGCCCTTTGCCTGCCTGATGAGGCTGTGACTGTGCCTACCATTAAAACATGGTATGGACTGTATAGAAAGGAGAAAATGCTTAAAAGGTCTTATTACTGTATCACTGGGGTCGATGTAAGATCAGAACTATGGTAATGTATAATAAGTGTGTGTATATCTGTGTGTGGGTGTGTCTCTCAACGTACCGTCAGGTAGGACTTGCAGGCAGTTTCTCCTGATGTTGAGTTCTCGTAAGGCGAGGAGTTTCCCCATCTGAGCAGGAAGCACCTGAATTTCATTACAGCTGATGTCCTACACACACAGACACAATCATACAAAATAATGACTTCCTCCTGGGAAAATCACCACAAACAAAAACTGAGTTTAACACAACAGGCACACCACACACACACATGCATACTAACCAATTCCATGAGGTCTTTCGCCTTGCCGATCTCATCTGGAACAGACACCAGTTTGTTGTTGCTGACCACCAGGACCCGGAGAGGAAGGTTGAACAGAAATTTGGGTAGAACCGACAGCTGATTCCGACTGAAAAATATCAAAATGCAAACAAATACATAAAAATCTTAATAAATGAGCATGATTTACTTCACAGTTTACAACAACATATAACACATTCAGCTGATCAGTTTCTGCGATTTGTCTTTGCGGAAACTACAAAACTGAAAATCAACGGATAAAAGCATTACTTTGGCAATAAAACCCAAAGGCCATACACTATTTACTTTGTTGTGATGTCAGCACTCATGTTTAAACCACCTTGGGACTAACAGAGCTCCAACATGTGCTTTTACAAAACATTTTGGGAAAGAAAACTGTGAAGTCATTGTTTAGGTGAATCCTGCTCTTCACAACAAGGAAGACAGTTTAATGAACATGAAGCTGAATTCTGAAGTTAAATATACCCAAAGTATTAGCACACAGCTGCTTTATGGTGTTGTATTAGAAAATGTCAAAAGAAGACAAGGTTCCCACAAATTTTATCAGATAATCTTTAGGAAATCTTTAACTAACATTTTAGCCCCTCATCATTATTTTGAGGGGTTTGTTTTCATTCGGTTGTCTTCACTTTTGTTGACATTCCTCACTTTGGTTCTTTAGCATTTTTATGACCAAAAGGGCCCAAATAGAGAAGAACACAGTCAAACAAACCTTCCTATGCTGATAAATGTTTGACGTACTAAGACGTACAGCGGTTCTATGAGGAAGTAGGTACTAAAGCAGTTTCTGACGTGCTATTTACTCAGGTGTTTTTTAGAAACTTGAGTCTATCACTGACATACTTTGACTTGAGTATGCTTTAGGTAACTCTACCCACCTTTTTACTCATCATTTCCCTGTTTAGCCTAACAGCCGTTTTCTCTAACCCTTTCTGGGTAACGTTTCTGACTGCATGTTCCGCCAGTGCATTCGTGTGCAGAGGCTGGAAAATGTTTCAAATACAGGCCAACTGTTTGTCAAGTAAATCAAATAACAGCAGAGACTCCATAAGTAGGGATTTATACTGCTCAGCTCCAGAAACTGTGCCAGATTCAAATGTTAATGTGAAACTCTGGATAGTCATAACTAGCTGGGGACTTTTTTTTAAACTTATTAACATATATAAATAAATATACCTCATTTGTTTATGTGTTAGAAACAAACATTCAAGCAGTTAAGCATAAGATTTTAAACCAAATGTCCTTAATATTGTGAATACACTCTACAACACCTCGTCACTGTTCCGGGACATTATTGTATACTGACCCACTGACAGGACAGGCTCACTGAGCACTAGCTGGACATCTCTCTACTCATATTACTATGCACTGCCACTTAAATATTGCACATTGCACACTGCACTGTCACTTTGTTTATACATCCATAAATATTTCATATTGCACAACTGTTAACATTATCATTTACAGTACACAGTGACTCACTGGAGGGGACATGCACCACTGCACTGTCAACTGCGTAGTCTTTATGCAATGTTACTACTTATCTATCCATCTAAATCTGTTATTAAATAAAGTGTACACAGTCCTGCATTTGTACAGAACTGTTACTCAGCAGTGATTCATGACTGTAAACAAAACCATGAATGCATTTCTTATCACAGTTTTCAATATATGATATCATTTGTTTTTATATTGATATTTTTATATAACAGACATTAATAATATTGGATTCCTGGTGCAATATTTAAGTTCTAGCCCAAGAAACAAGACGTGCAATAAAAGGAAAATAACTGAACAGAACTAAAATAAGATGTTAAATAAGCTGGTATTACACTGACAAGCTATAATTGCAGTATCATAACACATACCTAATTACATAATCTAGATCGGATGCATCCCGATCTAGTAAGGGCAGACTAGATCGACATGAGGGAGCACCACTATCACCTCAACGGCAATGTTCTTTTCAAACTCCTTAATAAATATTTCATTTTTCAAAACGAAACCTGACTGTTCTTTTATACTGAAGTATGTTTATTAATACAGTGTATGATAAAGGTTTCTATCGAGTGACCAGCGCAAAGTTTTATCTCTGTCTACTTCTGGCTTTGGATGTGGGTTTAATACAGTGCAGCAACAGTGAAATGCTGAGCGCTGTCTCTAGTAGAATCCACCCGACACAAATGGAGTGTGGTAACCTTTAACATTAAGTGCCCTATGTTTATTTATTTATTATTCAACTTTTCTGGCGGAGAGGTTATACATTTGAATATCATATTTGACTCAAATGCTCATCCTTAAATCAAATCAAACTGGGGTGAACTTTGAGTGCTAATGTGATTGTAATCAAACTGAATCAGAGCTTTCTAACTATAGCTGACACACTGGCAGCATCAAAACAGAAGTGCCTAACAAGTTACTGAAAAACAAAACATTAACATGAAAAAATATCAACATGTGAAATTAATAACAATAAAAGAACCAAGGCAGAAATTGCAGGCAGGCTAAAAAGACAGATGCAGTAGACAAACTTCAGCAGGGAAAACACTGCTCACCTGATATTGAGGTACGTAAGCATCTGTAAGTTGACAATGGCTTCCGGAATCATCTTGATGCAATTGTGGTAGAGGTTGAGCGACTCCAGCGGAGCAAACATACACACTTCAGGGGGGATCTCTCCGAAGCGGTTCTTGGACAAATCTGAATGGAAAGGCATGGAGATGTCGCATGTTAGCAGAGCGCTCTAACAAACTACTGCCTGCTGCAAGAGAGAGTTCAAGACTGTGCTACCTTATTTTGACCAAGCCCTTCATCGAATCTCCTTCAAGTCCTGTCCTGACTGGTATGCTGAGTCACAGCTATGCTCGAGCGAGTGACGTAATATGGGTGAGTGGGTGTTTACAAAAAGTCACGCACTGCTGACATTTTATAAAATGAAATGCATGTTTATTAAATTTTGGATAATGGAAAACAACTCTTATTACTATAGTAATACAGTGGTGGTGCAGGGTGTCCTTGAAAAATTAAAAATGTTTTTATTTAGATATGAACAGCTTGATGTCCACTATTCATATAAAATGCATTCTTTTTATTTTCTGAAAGGCAAAAAACTAGAGATGAACCAATACCACTTTTTCCTCTCCAATACCAATACCTGATGCTTTAGTATCGGCTGATACTGAGTACCGATACCGATACTAACTGTATCTAACCTAACTCACCCTTTAACTCCTGATATTTATACAATTACATTTTAAAAATATTTTATTTTTGTAAAATCTATGTTCTGTGTCACAACTAAAACACATTCAGCTTGGCTAGATGGTATTTACTTGCTGGATTATATTTATTAGATGTTTAAGAAAACTTATTTTTGTTTATTTATTGCATATATTTAGTATCTACTGTTATATAGTTAGTAATAAGAATCATGTTTAGCAACTTACGTAAATGTAAACTATCTTTATTGAGCAGAACAGTTAAGAACAGAACTAAACATTATGCAGATAAACCTGTGGTGTTGACACATCAGCACACCGCAGCTTCTCTGGCTCATATCCACATTTTTCAAGTCATTTGTCTCATATGTGCCTCTTGTTCCCTCGCACTGCACCTCTAAGCATCAGTTCAGTAAATATCACTGTCACTCACGCTGTCAGCATTAGCGACTTTCAGTGCTTTTTCTGGTTTGGTTGAAGCGACGGGTCGCGAGACCCCGCTGCTGAGAGATAAAGCTGACCGACGGAGGTGCAGAAAAGGCAGGGCTAGTGGACGTACATGCCCGACTAACGGGCTGCTATGTTAAAGGCTAAATCGTAGCTAAAGGCTATCATTATGCAGGCAGTCCAGTGGTTCCTTACGCTCTCTCAATAACCTTAACTCAGACTGTAAGTGACCGCACAGCGGCAGACGAGTGATTACTGAAGGAAACAGCTCAGCCGTTCAGGTAAGCGGCTCCATTAGTGTGTTCTTAACACCAAAAACTGCCGTTACGGGTTCTGCCATGAGCATTTACTGCTGCTTGTCATCCCACACCGCTGATCGATCTGTTTCTCAGACTAATCAATGATCTGAGTGTAAGGTATGGCTGTAGACAAGCCTTCTGTCTGCATTACGATCAGTAATGCTGCTACACCTTTCCTGTAACTGCTGGGACTGAAGGCAGGACAGCTTCAGGGACAAACCTCTAGAGACTATCAGTGAAACAGTAAGTGTAAAGTGTGTGTCATTTTACACAACATATGACACATAAGTGCCTGCAGACATACTCACTCACACAAGCTAATGTGATGCAACTATTGGCTATTTAACTTCCCATGAATCTGACAGTTTTTCCATTAAGGCAGAAAAGCATAAGCACTCTGCTGTAGGAAGAGAACGGTTCAACTGCCCGTCATGATGCCATGGACCGAAATTTTTGGTACTATCATATTATTGTTAAATATGCTCACAAAATAAACATCCAAGCACATATATGCATTACAATCACTTCACCACAGGGAAAAAAAAACATGAAGAATGCTGGGATGCTCAACCCTGCACTACAATACAAAATTTCATATCGATAAAAGACAGTCATCAGAAATGTTACTCATTATTTAAAATTATACAATTATACTTTTATATCAAGGTACGTCATTAAAACCATTAACCTGCCAGTAACTCTTCCTACTCCAAATGACATGCATTAACGGCTTTCCGATCCTGCTTTTGAAGTGATGCAATATATGCCAGGATTGAAATGTCAGCTACGTGTTTGACTAAAGGCTGTTGTCAGCACAGCAATGCAAGAAACTGACAATAGAAGTAAGACAGCCAAGAGCAGTCTGTGTTAGGACATGTGGCAGATTATCTTAATGCTTCCTTCAATCTATTTTTCCAGTTCTGGGCAATTACACCCACGCTTTCTAAAACAGCAAGAGGAACACGTACTTCCCGGTTTTGATGCACCAGACTTGGCGAAACGCCCTGTCTGAAAATAGATACTGGCTGCTCCATTTTAAAATAAAGAAGCAAGTGTTCTCTGTCTTAGAAAATACTAAATACTTACAAAAATGAGTCAGATTTTCATAATTTGATAAGTAAATTAGCTAAAATTAATTAAATTCTACCTAGTGTTACAGTTCTCCTACTGAAGATCCATTAGTTGTCTGAGCTCGATGCTCCACCAGATCGAAGTAAAGAGCAAGCATCTGACACTTTGGTCACAGTTTTATCTGGTTAGTCCAAAGAAGGTAGCATAGAAAGACTACTGCAGCCAGCTAAACGCTACCACACACTGGACAAGAAGTGCCACGTCACCAGAAGGTATCTGGGGTACATGCAAAGCACAGCTATAGCACAAAAGGAATCGCTGCAGAAAAGAGTTTGACGTAGTATGTAAACACTTTTACAGTTTTAAATCATATCCTTGACGCCCCAGTTTATACAAGAAAATTAAGCTGCAAAAGCTGCCAATTTTGAGTTCAACACATTTACACAGATCTGTTGAAATGAGCTTACAGCAATTTAGCTCAGCCTATATGAATCTAATGGATATAGAGGGGTTGGAAAATGGTTATGTAAATATTTTACGTACCAAAAGCAGTGAAACTTAAATTTGAATTTAAATTAGAATTGAATTGTTTTAAATTAAAATTTTAACATGACTATTTTCCAACCTGTCTATATCAAGCCAGGTCCATGAGGGGCTTCGTATCTAAAAATAGGTTTAAAGAAATCTATATTTTGTTTTTTGTTTGTGTTTATTTATTTATTTTTTTTTGTACTATTTTTTGAGTAATTCTTTACCAACTGTTTTTACATGCGAAGTGCCTCATGGACCTGACTTATAACTAGGGATGCACAAACGGAATCGGCAGCTTTTTGCACCAAATGCTCAATCAGCAATCAGGCAATTTATTATTTCTATTTTGTGTAATCTGTGTTGCAATGTTTTGAGGTAAATAATGTGGGGATGGTAGGTGTATTCCACACTATATTTGAGTGATGCTGCACAATGTTGCTTCAGGGCAACAAACTCATTTTCATCACTTACAATAACATTATACATATTTAAAACACAGTGATAGGATTAACAATAATGGGAAGTGTTTGAGTAAGTCAATAAAAAGCATGTACTTGGTCATACTATCTCCTAGTCAGCACATTTAAACCTCATTTTTAACATTCAATAATATTTTTTATACAAGAATGTGCAGAAATGTTGCCTTAAAGCAACATTGTACAACAGTGGGATGGAATTAGCCAGTCACAAGCCAGGTCTCACCACTTCAGGGAACACGGCTCTATATCATTTCTTCCCATTGTCGCACAATGTTGCCTCAAAGCAGCATGCTCCAAAAGGACCCCTGCACACATTATTATTATTATGATTTTTTATGTTTTTGAATTTAATAATCAGGTCCAAAAAATAAATCAAGGACCACCTTATGCAAGAAAAGTGAACTGTATTTTTTTTTCTCTCATCATGTGTGCAGTAGCGGGTTAAGGGCTCTGATTACAAGACAGATCAAATTATCTCACCATCACAACAAATCTGCATTATCATAAGGAGCTTTTTAATGAATAACTGGAATATTTATCCCTTCTTGCTGTGAGGCGACAGAGCTACCCACTGCACCACCATGCTGCTTTGATTCCCGGCCGGGTGTTTTTATGTTCTGCCCGTGTCCTCCGGGTTCTCCGGTTTCCTCCCACAGTCCAAAGACAAGCAGTCAGGCTAATTGGACAGGCTAAATTGCCCCTAGGTGTGAATGTGTGTGTGAATGTATATGTCTGTCTGTCTGCCCTGCGATGGACTGGCGACCTGTCCAGGGTGTATCCTGCCTTCCGCCCAATGACAGCTGAGATAGGCTCCAGCACCCTGGCGAAACCCAGAAGGATAAGCGGTTTAGATGATGTGTGTGAAATATTTATCTATTATAATTTAATTCTTTTTATTTTTCACAAAAGTGAACTTTTTTGTTTAAAGTTAGTTAAGATTTCTGCTGACATGGCAAATAAACATCTGTACTTGCAGCACATCTGGTCAGTGGTACAATTATTTTAATAACAATTTATTTCTTGCATAATCATCATGATATCCAACAGTTTATCGAACATTACATTTCATGTCCATATCATGCAGCTCTGACCACATATATCAAAAATATTATAACATAATTACACATGACTTATTGTGCTAAATGGCCAGATGTCTTTTACCTATGATGCAGTAGTTTATTTGATTTCATATAATTTAATGGGCCAACCGATTTGTTTATTTGAGAATTTAAAATGTCAATTTAAGCGCTATTAGCACTCCAGCAGCTTTTGGTGCTTCATAAGAGGAGTACTTTGCATCAATGACACTGTGAGTTAATATATAAAGCACACTTTTTATAATTAACCCCTTAAAATCCCAGGCTTATTACATACTATGCCTTATTACTCAGTAACTACATGGACTACAATGCAAACTAGCTGGATTTTCCCCCATTCCTATAGAAGTGTGCAGTTAAACTGGACCTGCAGGTGGGTCCTGGCCACTAAAGTACTAAATGACAACAGAGGTATCTCTTCACAGTTACTTCATAAAGGCAATCCACTGCTAAAGGACCCAAATGAACACACACAGGCTGGCTGATTCAAGGTTACAGTGCAATGACTGAATGAATACACTATGAGAAACCACATAAGCAAGTCTATTTGAGATTAAT